GAGCCGACCCAGGCTGGAAACGCCGGGGGCCAGCCTGGGCCGCGCCTCCTCCCCCCACACCCCCCTTACCTGCTTCAGGCTTCCCGCGAATCAAATATTCGCGGGAAGCAGGGGAGGGGGCGGAGACTTTGGGGAGGGGGCGGGGCTGGGGGCGGGGCCGTGGGCCATGGAGTGTCCTCCATTTGGAGGCACAAAATATGGTAACCCTATTCAGTGGGGCTGTATCTACCCCGTGTGAAGAGGAAAATGGCACCTGCACCCTGCCTAGAGCACCGTCCTCTGGGCTGGGCAGCTGGTGTAGCAAAGAATTTGCTCAAGAGGGCCCGTTCAGCCCTCTGCATCGCTCTAGAGAGAAACCGGGGCAGTGGGTGGAACTGTGCACCTTGTACCACGGAATTAGTGATAAATAAGGCTACGATGTAGTCACAGAGGTCACAGATTCCGTGACTTCACCGGACCTCCGTGACTTCTTCGGCTTCAGCACCCCTGCCCTGCAGCTGGAACCCGGACCATGCGCTCCCCTGCCCCGCAGCTTCCACTGGGGGCTGCATCTGGGGCCGTGTTCCCCATCCTGCAGCTTCCACCGGGGGCCAGGGCCGTGCGCCCCCCCTCGCAGCTTCACAGGGCTGTTACACCCCCCTCTCCCCGTGGCTGTGGTTGGACCTGGGACTGTGTGCCCCTGCCTCCCGGCTGCTGCCAGCTCCAGAGCCGGGGCTGTGTGCCCACCCACCTGTGGCTACCCCCCATGGTTGCGGCCGCTGGATCCAGGGCTGTGCGCCCCCACCCCCATGGCAGTGGGGCTCAGACTGTCAGTCCCTCCCACCCCCTGGGACTCCAGCTGTCATTCCTCCCCCCTACCTAGCCCTGTCCCCTGGTTATTTTTAGTAAAGTCACAGACAGGTCACGGGCGCCCGTGAATTTTTGTTTGCTGCCCGTGATCCGTGCGTCACTTTTCCCGTGACAAAATCTTAGCCCTATTGCTAAACTTGCTGCAATAGCCCAGGAGAGATGGCAGAGATTGCCCCAAGGGGGAAAGGGGCTCTGGAGAGGAGAAAGCCGAGAGGGCAGGCCGCAGGAATCACCTCCACAGCT